GCAGTGTACACCATAGCAAGAAAGCAGGGCTGCAAGCCAAAAAAAACCTCGCAATCACCGCCGAAGCAACCCTGTCAAATTAGGTAATTTGACAGGGTTCCAGATACAGCTGATTTGGTGCAAAACTTCCCACTGATTGTTGCTAACATCAACTCAGAAGCACTCCTGCTGAATGATCATGATGCAGAAGTGGCACTGGGTGTCCTTGAGGCTTGCAAGGCCAGTCTTTCTCACACGGCCTCTCCCCTGAGTCAAACGAAAAGACAGGCAGAAGGAATCGAGAGAAAGCAGATCTGCATAAATTTGGTGCTGAGAGACATCCACATGAGTTTTCACGATGGTTTTGCGAATCTTCGCCAGAGCTTCTCGTGATGGTGTACGGTTCCGAGATTGCATCTGCAATTCCTGCATACAGCACTGAACGAACTCTAGCTCCAGGTGCAGTGTGCATGCAATGGCACCAGCAGGACTTCATGTGCAGACATGTAGCCTGAAGCTGCAAGTGATTTCCATAGATATAAGTTGGCTTCAGCGTCGATGCACCGAACGAGCTCATTGAAATCTTGGCTCGGTACACCTGGGCCATGAGCTAGACAGGAAGCAACAAGTCTCCAAAACAGAGTGTTCTTGCACGGCGCTCTCTCACAAAGACATAATCAGGCTCGTGCAGTGAAACGCCGCACCATCCTCTGAAACATCGGATGCCGCTCCAGCCCTCCCGTCACTCCATGGACAGGTTGCTCCAGCAAGCAAAAGGCTTGCTTCACCATTCCGAACATCATGAGCACAATTGCCCTCGCAGGCAACATTCGTAGATATGGGTTAATGAGGATTCAGCAAACTTGCCATGTTGAAACCCTTGCAGCACCTGATAGCGAGCACATTGCCATGTCGCACAGATGGTCGCTCCGATAATCCCTCCGGGAGCAGAATGTCCCGGCCAGAGGTCCATGAGTTGAGGAAGGACCAGCTCGAACCTTGCGGTGATGTAGAAAAAGATCCATATGATGGAGGAGTCGTATACTATAGTGGTGGTACGAAAGGAAAGTAATATATAGTAGCAGCAGTATATAGTGTGAGTCCGAATTAATATTAGAACTAGTCGTAGTAGTCGCACCAGCAGCCAAAGCAGAAGCAGCAGCAGGAGTAGCTGGTATACATTCACGCACGGCCCTACATAGACAGGTGCAGCAGCCCGCACGAGATCCAACCTTGCCCGCAGACATGTTGTTGACAAAGATAAAGCATGCATGCATGCTTCATCAGTCGCAAGCCTGTATAAATATAAGCCTATATACAATCAATGTCCGATCGATCTACACTGTCACTGTGTTACACAACAGAACTGCGGTCAAGTCCCCGACTGCAAATTGGTTTGGCATGAAGGCTCATGGATGCACCACGGTGCTCAGCCCAATCTTCTGCGCTTCTTGTCGGGCACGGTTTCCAGGATGACCCTAAGCTGTATATTCACGATGATATGTGAATTTGTGCAGTGGAAGTAAAACATTATATAATGGATTGAACCAGCAACTCGCGGATCTTGCTGTGCTTCCAGAGCTGGCAGGCTTCCTCAGCTAACTCTAGATCACACATGCAACAACACTCAAGCAGATGGCAGCCGAGCGACCATGTAGGTTATTCCTTGATCCTCGCGGGCCTGCCTGCGCGAGATGCGGACTTCATTAGTACAGCGCAGCAGTAGCCCATGGCAAGGGTGGACATCAATCATGAGGCCTCACGAACTCCTGCATCGCATTCCAGAGTGGCCCACTGGATTGACCTTTCTTGGTCTTCTCTCCACGATCGCCCTCCTGCATTGCACAATTCACCAAAGGAACGAACCCCACTTGAGCACCAGTCCTCCTTTGCTCCAGCGGCTGTTGCATCTGCGCCTGGCTCACGTGTAATCGTCAGATATATGGCGGTAGTATAAGTGTATAGCAGCAGCAGCAGCAGCAGCAGCAGCAGTACGTGGGAGTATGTACAGCAGAGTAGTATAACACTTGGTGTAGAAATAGAAATAAGTAGTTATTAGTAGTTACATGAGTGTATCACAAAAATAGCTTGGCAGATGCAGCAGTCCAATAACCCATGCATGCCCGATATGACGGCGGCCGCCTTCACTCGTGCCTTTGGCTTTGCTTTTGGGCTTCTCCTTAACGTTCACTGGGGCTGCAGCTTGCTCCTCCAAATCTTCTTCGTCGGCCTCAGTTGCACTGCCCTCGAGATGATCTGCTTCCTTTGCTGCATCTGCTTCCTCTGCTTCCTCTGCTTCCTCTGCTTCCTCTGCTGCTAGATCCTCGCCATCATCCGGCTCCTCTGCTTCTGGAACCTTGCCCAAGAAGTCAGAACTTCAAATTAATGAACACACGACCACACATGTATGACTGCTTGCAGATCGAGGGTCGGCCAAGCCAGCACCCGTGGCAGCTTCGAGATCTCCACCGCCTGAGCTGCGCTTCAACTCAAGGGACGATAAGGTTGTACACGTGTGCACTGTCTGTCTGCGCACACACACACAAAAGGTTAAATATAGGGATACTTAAGTGTCGGCACTCAACTCTTGCAGGCATGTCGCTTTCAGAACGAACACAACGCTTGTGTCTGTATACTTCCTGCATGCTGCACACAAGCTGCTGGGCACACCAGGTACTGGATGAAGTTCTCCATCGGAACCGATTTTGGAATATCCATGATAGTCCTCATGTTTCATCAAGGCATGGCGTTACACGCTTAGTGTGTTAAATAGAAACACCGCACATATGTGTCATGGGATCCTCCATGGGAGCCTCGACGAGGGTGTCTGCCTCGTCAGGATTCGGCCACACCATCAAGGCTGGACGACGAGGTCCTGCATGCACGCAAGCTCCAGTGCATCACTATACTTATGTACGACACTAGAGAACCCAGGTACTGCATGCAAACACATCACATATCCTGCAGCAGCAGGGGCAGGGGCTTCAGCAGCGCTTTCTTTACCATCCGTCTTCTGCTTGCTTTCGTCGATCCTCAACTTCATCTGCCTCCGGTATTGCTTCGTGGGATCAACCGTTGGGGGATGCGCAGCAATGTCACCAACCACAGCCGCCAACACGCCCGCAGAGGGGCTGTCGACGTGAAGATCTCCTCACAAACATTCGAAAATACATGGAATGACGACTCACAGCCCTGCAGTCCTGGAGTCGTGGTGACTCCCTCAAGATCGTCGTCCTTTTTCCGGCTGTATTTCTTCTCGAGGAGCTTCCCCTGAACGGCCACCTCTCCAAGACCCAATCCAAGACAGAAACACATATGTATGTGGACACACAGAACTGTTCCCATGACGCCTTCAGCTCTCCAAACCACTTCACTCGAGCATTGGGCGTTTTTTTCGCCTCTCGGATAATGTGAAGCACCTAGGCACTCTGCATGATTCCACTCGTGCACGCACAAAAAAATCGACAATAAATTAACCGGGTACCTGCCATCTAAAGCAACCGAGCAGCCAAGGATTTCAAAGCGCCAGCTTGCGTGTGTGCAAGCTGCGGGTCATATGTGTCGCCCTGGCAGAGAACCCATGAGTTGAAACTTGCTATATACAGCAGCCTGGATACACTGCATGCAGCTCGGCCTCATACTTTGTGTCCTGCGTGCTGGAGAACGAAACAAGGCAGCTAATGATCGCAGACACGGCTTCGCAACGATGAGATATTAAGTGCGCAAGTTAAGAATGTGATCGGCGATATCCTTGTACCTCTTCTCGATGCAGAATTCCAGGCATTCCACGGGAAGCACTTTGCCAAACTCCGAGAAAACACGCAGTGTCCTTAAGCCGTCAGGTCGCCGCCCTGCATGCAGATGCTCAAATCGTTAAGTTTAGGCAAGATTCGCTAAGAGAATGTCTTTGTTCGTATGCATGAGGTCGAACCGGGCTTCTTTGGAAATCTTCTCGACATTGCCAAGATCAGCACCGGGGGCTTTCATGAAATCAACCTCAGGCCGAACCCCAGGCTATCTAGATAGGTGATACATCTTCTTCTCACTGTAGATGTATGGAAAACAGAAAATTTTCTGAAAGGCCATGCACTTGCTTGGCCTCAAAGTCCTCCCAACATGCCACGACTCTCGCCGGCTGTTCTGATGCCTTGAATTTGGCCAGGAACTGGCCAGGCTTCAGCCCGTCGAGATCTTCAGAGGACATGCTGCCAGAAACTACAGCGGAGCAGGTCCCTAAGAAGATCTAGTGCATGCCTGCACCACGACGTATATGTATATATATATATATATATTTTTCTGGAGAGAGAGAGCTAGAGAGATATTAGCCAAATGTATGCCCTGCATGCGTGCTGGTGTTGAGATCCAGCTAGCACTGCTCTTCCCTGATCGACAGCCCCAGCTGAGCTATGCGGGCGGCAAATCAATGTCACAAGTGCACATGCACATGCAGATTCGAGCTGAACTCAATAACTCCGATCCCACGAGCTCGGTGTTTGAACTTCGTAAGAATTTCAGGTTTAGGGCGGTTTTGGGGCTTGGTTTAAGTCTTTCTTTCTTCTGCACTCCTAGCTCACCCCCTTCTGAACATGGGCTGGCGCTCAGAGATATACAGATCCACAAACCTAAAAGCATGCAGCAATACAAACTTTTGTAACTTTCCGATTTTCCACCATTAATAAAATCAATTGCTCCTTATTCTTTTCCCTCCCTGCGACAGATCGCGTCCATCCACAACCCAGGTCGATAGATTTTGCTGAGAGCCACTCCTGTTCTGTAGAAAATGCTTTCGAAATCAGCTGGCACGTCCACATAAGCCCACCAACCCGAAGGTTTTGCGCTCACAACTGCCACGTAGAATACAGAATCTCACCAACTGCCTTTTTTGTACCGAGCCATGAGGCACTCTAAGTACTCTTTTTCGGCCAAAGTACAAATTTTCGAAAGTACTGTCCAAGCTGTTTGAAGAAACTGTACTGAGTACTGTTTTAGACACAAAGTACAGAAAATGGCAAAGGACAGGCCTGCAGGGGGTCGGCCTCCTCGATCGCCTCCTCCAGGTCGGCTGTCTCCTCGGCGGCCTTTCCAGGAGGGCCGGGCGGCGGGTGGCGAGAGCCCGGAGGGGGCCCTATCGTCAAAGCTAGTGGGCCTGCAGCTTTCGAACCGGCTCCCAGGGCCGAGGCTGTGCGCAAGGGCTGCTTCAAAGGAGCAGCCGCCCCGGATGTCACCATTGTTGCCAGCTCCTGTTGCTTCTGGTCGACCTCGGCCAGCTTGTTGGAGATGGCGGGCAGCGTGGCAACCAGTGTGTCCAGCTGTGCTGCTAGCCCCGCCATGGTCGTCCTTTTCGGCTTCTCGTGCTGTTGCCCGGGCCCTGGCTCGGCGCCTCTTTGGCCGAGAAAGGTGGAGCACCGGTCGCGGCTTCTTTGGCTCTGAGGCTTGGGCCCCTACTGGGGCCTCGTCGGCAGAGTAAAAGGTCACCCTTTCGGAAGCAGCCATGTCGGGATCTGCAACCCAGGCCTGGGCGGCAGATAGCAGGGCAGCCGGCTCGGGCACAAGGTCTGGCGACCCCGCGTCGAAAGCAACCATAAGCTCCGGAGGCTCCTCGGGATCGTAGGGGCTGAGTCGGCTGAGAGCATCGACCGAGAGGTCGGCAAGTGTGAATTGCACAGGCCGACCATCTCCTGCCACAAGGCCAGAAGGAGACTGCAGCATGCTCAGCACCTCTGAGGGGTGAGTAGGCCCCAGCAATGCATCCACTGGTGCAACCAGGCCTTGGGCCACCTCGGCATCGTCCAGCACACCCCGAGGGAGGGCTAGCAGGAATCCCAGGTCCCTCTTCAACACAACAGCTGCTAAGCACTCGGTTATACCGTCCCCGTCGTGGGAGGGATGCTCGTAAACCATCAGCTGCCTCGTCACATGGTAGGGGGTGAGGTCTTCTAGGCTGAAAGAAGGAGGCCATAGCAAACCAGCAGCACAAGTGTAGGCCCTTGCTTCCAGCTCCGATGGGAAGCCGTGGCACACAGCAGTTGAGCCCGGGAAGGGGCCCGCAGCCTGGGCGAAATCACGAAAGCTTCGGTAGAGGCCTGGCTCGTGGCCTTCCCCGCCCAGCACAACGTAGAAGCGCGAGGGCAGGTTTAGGGGAGGGGAAGAGTTGGGTGTCCCCACGGTGCCCGCTAAGACCAACTTTGCCCACGCTCCGGCTCTCCAGGCTCGGCATAGACGCTCCTTTCCGGTCAAGGAGCCTGCAGCAGTCAGGGCGGTACCTTTTGCAAGCCAATCAGCAGGGCAGACTGGTAGGGAAGACTCAAGGCTGGACCTGGAGATCGTCTCCTCCGGTCGGGGCGAAGTGCCCGGCAAGGGGTCCTGAGCAGCAGGGCCTGTCTGGGAGTCGGGTTCGCGAGGAGCGGCCCTGGAAGAGGCTGAAGGGCTAGAGCGGCTTGGTGCACAAGGGGCCGGCGAAGCGGGAAGGCAGGGGCCGGATGCAGGCACAGGTTGCTGGGGACTAAACCTTAGAGGGCCAAGGCTGAGGTCTGGCTGCGACTAGGGGTCCTAGGGGAAGGGCCTAAACCGTTAGGGTAACCCCAAGAGGTCCCAGGCTGGTAAGCACGAAGTTATTTTAGCAGGGGGAGGGCCGAGTCCAATGGCCCCTCAATGGCGATGGAGCAGCCACCGATTTCCAACAACAGTGAAGTCCGGCCTTCACTGCCTTGCATACGCGTAGCCCTGGAGGCGGGCCCTTGCTGGAGACACGAAAGGATCGGCAGCACTGGAGGCACGCAGGAACCCCAAGCGAAACACAAGGTAAAGGGCCAATCCAAACCCTGTGAGGAGGCCAATCAGCAAAGTCAGGAGGAGCAGGGCGAAGGAAGGCTGGGTACAATATACCGGGCAACCCAGACCCCAAAAGTTCGAGAACACAGCGCCCTGAACTAACCGGAGCCCAGTGACGACTTGATCCATCAGCTTAAGCCACGGCAGAAAAGAGTCTTCCCAGCGTATAGAACTCACTTACAACGGGTACTTGTAACCTTTACTTGCTAAGCCCCATGATCCTGCAAGTACCGTAAACCCTGCAAAACCTGCGTAAGCATTGGCCCCGGAGGCTCGATGAAGCAACGAGTTGCGGAAGCCTTCTTTGGATTGTCCAGCATGCGGTCCGTTTTGTAGTTGGGTTCAGTTAGGGTTTAGCGGGGGTTCGGGTCGCTGAAAGCCTTCCTAGGTGCTTTCAACCCCTAATTCCACCGCACTCCAAGCATCCATTCACGCTGCGACCTGAATGTTCCGAATGTTCCTGAAATTGTAGTAGAGGTCCTCATGCAAAGACTCATAAGTCCTGGCTGTTGGAGTTTGGGTACATTCTAGACGAGACTCTTATCTGCGATTTCTACATCTTGAGGCTTAGAAGCCCCCCCCCACCCCCCCGCTCCGAATCTAAACCCCGAATGCACAGCCCTGACTCTA